GGACTCTCTCCAGTAGCTCCTCATCTTTCTTGAACTGGGGAGCCCAGAACTGGACACTCGCGGGGAGGCTGCGTTCAGAGCCCCGGACGGACAAACGACCGCGTCTGCCTCCGACGCCGGCCGGAAGCCCACGCCGCTGGCGTCTTTTCAAGCTGGGCAGAAGCGAGCGGTGGGACGGCCGGCCAGACCCCAGCCGGTCCCGGACCGGCACTTACTTGTCGAGGCAGGCAAAGGCGGGGGCCTTTTCCTGGGGCTGAGGCTGCGCGGTGCCGTCGCCGGCGGGCCGGGGCGTAGGGGCCGGGGTGTTTGTTCTCCTGCAGGATGGAGTCGATGAAGGTGGAGGGGGACAGAGGGGGTTTGACATCAGCGGGAGGGTTCCCCGGGCTGGCCTCCTCGACCTTGGGGCTGCGGGAGGGACTAGGGGGTTCTTCTTTGATACGGACCATGGGACTACTCCTGAGAAAAAGAGAGAGGAAAGCGGTAAAAATCTCCCACGGGCACATGGCTGGTGTCCAAGATCCGCTTCCACGCAACACGGCAAAAAATCCTCGCGACTGCTCTCGCCTTTCCACCTGCAAAGCCTCAGAGCCTCGCCAGCTACAAAGACGAGGTTGGACGAGTGCCTAAATATTTCTTCCCTGATTCGGGACCCTAAACAGAATCACAGAATCCCAGCATGGTCGGGGTTGGCAGGGACCTCTGTGGGCCCCCCAGCCCAACCCCCTGCCCAAGCAGGGTCACCCAGAGCAGGGGGCACAGCACCGCGGCCAGGCGGGGCTGGAATATCTCCAGAGAAGGAGACTCCACAGCCTCCCTGGGCAGCCTGGGCCAGGGCTCCGGCACCCTCAGAGGGAAGAAGTTCTTCCTCGGGTTCAGCTGGAGCTTCCTCTGCTCCAGTTTGTGCCCATTGCCCCTTGTCCTGTCGCTGGGCACCACTGGAAAGAGTCTGGCCCCGGCCTCCTGACCCCCACCCTGCAGATATTTAGAGGCATTTCGAAGGTCCCCTCTCAGCCTTCTCTTCTCCAGGCTGAACAAGCCCAGCTCCCTCAGCCTCTCCTCGCAGCAGAGATGCTCCAGTCCCCTCCTCATCCTCGTAGCCCTCCGCTGGACTCTCTCCAGCAGCTCCTCATCTTTCTGGAACTGGGGAGCCCAGCACTGGAC